GTCCGCCAGGGAGACCAAGCGGTGGCACAGTCACTCTGCTGCTCCTTGCCAGCGCTGCACCCGTATGCTCGAACACGGACCTGTGCGATTTCCCGGGATTGTAGTGGGCCACTGGGCCAAGGGACCAGCACCGATGCACTGCTGTTCACATGGTAGGTTTCCTCTCGAGATCCGGAACGAACAACTTCCACTTCGTAGGCCGTCTGCTCCCAGTCGCGAGGACTACTGTCGGTGGTGAGGAATCGCCATGACAGACGCGGAGTCGCAGTTCCAATGCCAAACCCGGTTGAGTGTTGCTCAACTGTAGGGGTTTCAACCAAGATCTGGCTGGTCATGGCCGGGGAAGATAAAAGGAGGAAAGCGAAACAAAAAGTGACAAGAAAGCATAGAAATATTTATGTGTGATGCATGCATGCCAACGAACCGCAAGTAGTCGCCTCTCGCGCATCATTCCCACGAAACCCCGAAGGGCTCGGGGTAACCCCGCATACTGTGTCAACCTCACCCCAGCACTAACCAGGAACCTTGAGGCTTCATTCTCTTCTTCCAAAGCATGTAGGAACTGACATGGAGTAAGATAGTGAGTCTCCTCGCGAGATTGATTCCTGACGCCCCCCGCAAATGAATTGCTATGATGATATTCGTATCCAGGAAGTATAACAGACAGTACTGGCAGGAGAAGAAAAGAGAATACATAACTTTAGGCGAGCATAGTTTAGTGAAGTCACATGACTGGCATGTGTTGCTTTCTCTGGGAAATGCTACAAAGTACTTGGTGTAGTAGGGATACAATTCTAGAGGTTCCAATTGAAGGGCGGGTCTAGATCTTATGATCTTCGTCTCCTTAGCTCAGCTTTCAGGGAGAGGCAGTTTCTTGGTTCTTGAGTGGTCATACGTGTGAAATAAAGACTGTTGTATAAAGTGTATCGACATAATTCGCTTCGCGGGTATACCTGAGTATGAAAGAAAATATCATATTAACTCTTCATTAAATCGGTAAGTGTTGAACAGCCAAACTCAACAAATGCTCATGTCTCAGCAATCGCTCCAACCATAACATAGACCCATGCTCGCTATCTCCCGCAATGCACCAGGCTCCTGAACCCAACCAGCCCAAAAGTCCAAAGAGAAAGAAAGCTCATCGACTCATAAGCGCTCAATGGTCGTAGTTGGAACCAAAGCAATGCTGCTAAAACGGGATAAGAAAGAAAAATTACAAGATCTCCAGATCCTCGAATTCGACCACCAACCCTTCGTTCGCTGATGCCGCCGCCGATCCGGCCACCCCCGGACCATTGGCCATCGCCCACATCGTCCCAGTGCGAGGCAGACTATGCGGGCGACTGGCATAGACGCCCACGTGGACGAACTTGTCTTCTACTCCGTAGAAGAACCAAGTTACTTCCCGCAGCTTCTTCCACGTGCTGCTCACGGCCGCCGGGCTCGCTGCATACGGCACCGCTGATGGATCCTGGTACCATATCCAGAGCGAATGTCCGACTCGCTCTAATTTGATTCGTAACGAATGCATAGCCGATGGACCGCGATCGGGGATCGACAGTGGTGAGAGACACCAGTCCGCGCCGTCGGAAGTTGCGCTTACCGACGATGCGTTCATCGTGCCCGAACTGAACTCCATCCCGGCCTTGACCCATTTACAGGGTCGTAACGGTTGAGGGTACCCGGGGCGGCCCGATCGTGGAGTACTGTCTGGCGAGAATGATTGCGGCGCAGCTCCGGCAAAGATCACCAGACCACCCTGGTCCCATTCCATTTCCCAGTCGGCCGTGACAGTGACCTCGGCAACTACAAATGGGCTCCGCAAGGATGTAAACACGATAGGAGCCGTTGCAGTATCCCGGTTTGGTGGCTTACGCCAAAGGTCCGTATTAGGGCCGGCGGTGAGGGTGAAGTATTCCATGCATGGCGGTAGCGAAAATGTCGAGGGCAGATTCAGCGCCGTAAAAGACGAACTGCTGGGGGGCATTTTCCTTATCTCCTCTCGATTCCTTCGACCACTGGAGTAACCACTAAGAGACGTCCCCTGGTTCGTTGCGCGAAGCTTCCGTGCTACCGTGATGACACTAAGTAGGCGAGTCACACAAGGGCCTCTTATCCTTACTTTAGGTTTGCACTTAGGACTTTGGGCGGACAGCTCGTGGGAGGGTAATGAGCGATGCCCGCTGAGGTGGAGGGATGGAAGATGAAAGAGAAAAGAAGCGTGCGGTGTGGGCAAGATTCAGTTCCGATTCCACCTTGAAGCAAGGGATTCCCGACCTCTTGACGACGTGCTCAACGTCAACCTGCCGTTCTGGGCCCTGAGAAAAAGAAAGGTGAAAGCAGGGAAAAGGAGTCGGTAATCAATAAGCTAGACTAGTAGCAAACCAAGCCTGGTCCGGGCGCCCAAGTAGTGTCTGGGGGAAAAAGCAAAAACACAAATGATTGAAAACCGCTAGACTATGTCAGGGTCAGTTGAAAAGAGTCCTTTAGAAAAAGGGAGATGCCCGGAGGGGGGTTGGTAAGGCGAGGATGGGAGACGTACAGTAAGCTGGCTGTGCGCTGAGACACGCACGAACAGTACCAGAACAAAGACTTATAACCAGTCCAACGCGACTGGCGGTGATCTGACAACATCCCAGCTAAAGAAACCAGCCCGTGGCGATGCCACCCGAAGGACCGCTTTATAGAAGTGTCAGGTCAGGGAACCAGCGAGCTGGCCCCAGGGTGATGGTCTGGGCAGAAAGAGCGATGTCCAACCAGACGAACCACGGCACTGGAACAGGCGATCATTGCTCGACAGTATCCAGGAACCTGGGTAGCACGGCGACCCGTGCTTGCATCTTCCTTCCTTTCTTTGCTTTTCTGTGCCGTTCTCCTCTGGTTGCCCTTCGCTTTTCGCTTTTTCCTTATTTACTTTTCTTCTTTGCTTTCCCCTGCCTTGTGCATAGCGAAGAGTTCCCGTCTTTGCAGGTTTGCTATCCCAGCCTGGGCTCTGGAACTCGCCGTCCAATGCAGACCAGTTCAGGAGTGGCGGGTCATCCTGCAGCTTTGGGAGACAAACAGCTTTTTGGGGAGGACCACGCAAGTCTGAGTTGTGGGAGGGAGGGTCGCCTTGTTCAGGGCAGCTGAATGTCCAGCTCCCATCTGCACGAAATTTCAATAAGCCCAAGCGAGTCGGGGATTGGCTGTCAGAATTGGAGGGGGAGGATGTCGTGGAAGAGCTGAAGCCGAAGTGGAGGGAAAGTTGGGTTGTGCGAACGAGAAGGATTTAAGACGGGCAATTTGTTGCCACATCCACTCGGAGGCCACGATGGTCAGCAACCACCGCTCATCTTATCTACTTGCTTTCTCTTCTTCCCGTCTTCCATGGCCAGTCAGCCGTGATTCTATTTTGGCCTGCTTACTGCCGTCCGGGAGGCATACGCATGTGGCCCTTTCGGGTTGCGGGTGGTTGTGCACACCATCGCGCCCGTACCTCGAAACATTGGTCATGAATCAAAAGGGCTGCATCGCTGTCGCCTAGTGCACCATCCTATGTATGAACGTCCCCGAGGCCTGAAGAAATGCGGCCAGATATTAAATGGTTAATATGCTTACCTGCAGGTGCAGGGTGTTCTTGGTTTCCGAAGTCAGCACACCGTCATTGGCCTTATTCGGGGCTAAGGCATGGTGACTTGGAAAATACCCGTCGAACTATGACTTGTCACTATCTGAGGCGCCTGGGTGAAAAAGGCGTGATCCTCTTGACGAGGCTGTTAGCTTCTTGTCTATGCCCTCTCCGAAGACTAGCTTCATAAATCCACCTGCCACTCTTTGGGCGACAGTCGGGGTTGGCAGGCGCCCAACTTGATGATAAAAGCGCTAGATCTCCTCCCGGCACTTGATGGCTGCTCTGAAGTGTGGATGGACTGCAATTATCCTTCACACCCGGTGAGCTCTTCTGGAAAACCAAGGACATATCCCAGTTCTACAGATCGATCGGTATTGCAATGTGCTTGTGATTACTAACGTGTTGTTTCCAGCCGATGAAACTAAAGCCGGACGGCATTTCATACCGGCCGGATTTCAATATGGACTTCGGATGTTCTGTCTAGACTCGCCTAATTTCTGGATTATAATAACTAGCAAGTAGGCATATCAACGACTTGTCGCTGCGCCTCTTCACCCTTGATGTATTACTAATGGTCAAGGGCATCTGGAGCTATACTAAGATCAAAGCAGACATTTTAGATGTATAGGCATCTATTGTACACTTGGCAAACTTTGCATATTCTTCTGAAGCACTCCGTAAACACTCAACTGCAGCGACATTTCAAATGCAACATGGAATCACAATGTTCCGGACTGATATATGCATGGATCGGCGGGATGTGTGAGGATATAACATGGGTCCAACACTTTTTGTGACTGATTCAAGCCGGACTGCAGCACACCCTGCAGAGAACCTTGTGCTATTCAAGCATGGACAACTAGTACAGTGCTGCTCATTGGAGTACTCTGATGATCACCCCGACTAGTACATCTGACACTACTGCCATGACACTGGTACCGAATATCATATGACAGTATATATTAGCATTGATCAGCTGAGAGTAGGGGATACTACCCAACCAAATCAATTACATTACATAGCAACTTTTTCGATGACTTCCCACAGCAAGTAAAGATGTATTCAAAACCAAAATAATCAACCGACGAAACCAACATCCACCCACCGTAGCTACCAATGCAAATGTAAACATGTATACCCCCAACCCAACTACGGCACCCCACACCCCACCACCACGCAAAACCCGGGTGCAGTTTAGTTTAGCACTATCAACCAAGCAACTGGCGTCATCAACCCTCCAATACTCTCCACCCAGCCAGAACTATCTATCGTCCCAGTTCATTCAACGGTTAATCCCTACTCCCATCATCCACACCATTCACACAACTTTTCATTCCACCCACCCCCAAACAACACCCAAGAAAAGAAGTAAAAAGAAAAGAGAGGCAAGATGGTCTGCGCCAAATGCCAAAAGAAACTCAAACAAACGGAGCTCGCCACTCCCGGCGTGAAACGCAAAACAGAAATGTACTATGGCTCACCAGCCACAACGCTCGGTGGTAGCAGCAGTAACAGTGGTGCTGGTGCTGCTGTTGCTGGAGGGAAAGCCAAGTCTAGTACGTTGGGGAGTAACGGGATTGGGAAGGTATGTATTGTACATCTTCTTTTCTTATTTCTCATCATTACTACTACTATGGTTACTGTTATTAGTACTGAGATACATGATGATGATGATGGTGATGATGATGCTAATATTGTATAGAGCAAACTCCTCAGCTCCAAAGCCAAGAATCCCTACGCGGCGTATGCTTCCTCCTGTGAGGTTTGCAAAACCAAGACGGAGCAGGGAAGGAAGTATTGTCAGCGGTGTGCGTATCAGAAGAATGGTTCGTTGTCTTTCTAATTACATTACTATTGAAGGATGGTTTGGCTAACGCCGTATAGCGTGTCCGATGTGTGGGAAGGGGTTGACGGGGAGTTCGTCGAAGAATCAGCCTGCGATTACGGGGCAGAAGTTCAACTTGAAGTAGTCATCAGTCATTCTTTTCTGCATCTAAGATACCTACTTATGTCTATTACCACTATAACTGGGAAGGAATCTGCATGGCGTTTGGTTGATTCGGGATAGTCTTAGGAACAAGAAAGGTCTTCATTGCAAATAGAAAGCGAAAAGAAAAGAAAACAATAAAAGCTAGTTATACATGACCGACGAGATGATATATGCAAGACTCAGACCTGCTGTACTACCAACCAAGGGCACAAAACCCCCTCGGGGAAAGAAACAAGTCCGCACAACGACAACTATCCATATCCATACACTACTACTCCATCACACCTATGAAACACCGGCTTACCGATCGGCCAGCATGTTCTTGACGCTGGCGTAGTACTGCGGCTTCACAAACTTCGAAATCTCGTCCTTCGACAGCCACTTGAAGTCGGTCAGGTTCTGAGCGTTTCCGGAAAGGTCGGCCTGGCCGGCCATGATGCGCGACTTCATGAAGAAGACCTTCTCGCCTGCGGGGCCGGTTGCCAGCTTGCTCGGGTTGCGGAAGTTGTAGACGTAGTGACCCACGGGGTGGTAGCCGACCATCCAGGTGTTCATGTTGACACCGGCGGCTTGCTCGAGGGTACGTTCGGCGGCCTGTTTTCAAATAGCGTTAGCGCTGCTGCCACTGCTGATGCACTGAGCAGAGTCAGCGGAACTTACCTGACGGAGAGTCTCTTCAGCCACGATGGGAGAGCTGGGGAACGTCCAGAATCCATCCTTGGACTGCACAAGGAGATAAAGAGTCCTCTGCAGTGCCCGGTTGAGGCTTCTCTGATCGTTCTTCTGGTCCGCCTCCGTCACCCGGGGGAAAGGTCTCGGAATCTCTTCCTTCTTGCTAGTGTCCTGAGAAGTGGCATTGACCGTCGACTCCGCATCCTGCACAAGCATCTCCACCTGGTGGGCCGGGTCCGACTCGACGGCTCCAACGAGGAGTTCATCGTTCCATGCCTCCTTCGAGTACGGGTTGTACTTGCCGATGTCGCGTGCGGGGGTCTGGCGCTCGCGGATCTTGCGCTTCCAGTCCTCGTCGGCGGGCGTTCCACGCTTGAAGTAGAAGTATTTCGTGAAAGGTAGCTGGAGACGCTCGTTCAATCGCTTCTGGTAAAAATAGTACGCCTTCTCGAAGTCGGTAAGGTCGCGGGTGATTTGAGGGGGACGGGAGAGGACCACGCCGGCCTTGATGGTGTGGGTGGGCTTCACGACGGGGAAGGCTGATGCGGCGGTGGAGGGAGTTTCTGTGGAAGCCTGTGTAGAGGCCGTGGCGTAACTGCGGCGGACAAGCGTCTCTTGACAGCTTCTGCACACTCTGGGATCGGAGATCGCAGGCCCTGGAGCAGTCAGTACGGACACGCATTGGTTTTGAATTTCAGATCGGCAAGCACATACGCAAAAGCGACGCTACGCGCCTGGCACCATTGGACCCTGACGACATCTCCAAATGTGTTGGTTATATGCTGGGGTACTTGTCAACAGGTCCGGAGGCCGACGATATAGCGAGAAAAGTTGGCGGTCACCTGCGAGGGAGCGTCGGGACGGAGCTAGTCCCGACCGGGCTAGTATGTCATGTGACCCATCATTCCGCTTGATTTAAAAGTTCTGCAGTGCGGCCCATTTCTGTTCTTTTCTTCTCTACGGCACCTTTCCTTATCATCACTGCGTTGAGTAACCACGACCAGTCGATCATTTTCCGGTGCTCAGAGCGGTTTTTGCGGCCATTTTTCGCTAGCGGTACCTTCTCAAATCAAGGCGTACTGTTAGATAGACGCTGCATACATTCATTCATACGGCTTCGCCTATGGAGACTGTAGCTGTTGCTATTTAATTATGCAAACTAGGTATTCTGGTATCTAGGAGCTACTATTATCGTAATCATGGAGTGTAGTGAGTGGTCAACGCTCATTGGGCATGTTGGCTGGCTTTTAAGAGGGCCTAACCAATGTGGCATACCCTCTCATTCGTACCAAAGACGCGCAATTTGTTTCCATAAATCTCCCAGAATTGCGCGCCTAAGCGTGGAATCAATCGGCCCTCGTCGGCTTTCTTCTGTGTCTCAGGAGAGTCGTGGGGTGTTAGGGAAATTCTGGTTACCTCGCCAGCGTCCTCGCCGCCGTTGTCTTGGACGACTTTTTCAACTTCAATAGAGCCGAACATAATACGGACGTTGTTCGACTTGGGACCTCTAGGTAGGACGACAGTAGCCTCGAAGTCGCCGATGACCTGCTTCGTGGGCTCCTTGGACTTTTCACTTGGTTGAGGCGTCTCTGGAACTGTTGGCGGAATTCCAGAAGTTCCCCTGTCTCGGAGCTGTGCAGAAAGTTTTATGAAGACCTGAGCAGTGAGCAAACTATCAAAGCCGGCTTCGTGATCAATTGCCCGCGTATTGTACTTGGTGAACTGAGGGTGTATACCTGATTGACATTAGTGAGGAACGACAACATAGCTATTGACCTACTTATTACTGGTGTTGGCTGTGCAGCGAGGCTGTCATTGATTTCCTGCAGGGAAGACCTGGGATTAATGGAGCCACAGTTGTGTGTAGCCATATACTTCGTATCCATCAACACCGGGAACATCTTGTGAGCCATGACTTGGAAATCCTCCACACGGTCTGGGAGAGGTCCAAAGAAGCACCGACAAAAGTAAATCAGGTCCGTGAAGAGGTTGTGGCCCACCAGAATAGGTCTATTCTTCTGCAAACGCTGCTTCACCCTGCGCGAGAAGTCCTGAAGGGAACTTTGTGGGTTCTCCTTCGAAGACGACATCAAATTAATGAAGCAGAAAGGCTCGAGGTTGGTCAGATCGCCCCCAGCTAGCGCCTCCGCGATCCATCGGAATCCAGTCTGTTTCCAGATCCTTTCTTGTACCCATTTCACCCTCTGATCGCGAACGGCCTTCTCGCGCTGTTCGTCGTAGTCGATTATCTGTATAAATCCCGGCCTACTGACAGTCACCAAATTCGGATACTCCACTTCGATGAGCTGATGAACAAGCCTCTTTTGAAACCTATTGAGATCTGTCGGCATAGATTTGGGGTGATTGGGTGGAGGAGGACCATTAATAGGTCTAGGTGGCGGGATATTAAGGTAATTCTCCCGGGCCTGCTATCACGGTCAGAAAAGCAGTACTAAATGTGACCGATTTTATTACTTTACCAAGCGCCAGCCAATCATCTACAAGACGGCGAGCATCCTTTAGAAAGGCTATAGACTCATGCTCATGGTCCGCGACATCCAGGGAGCTGCGTGCTGTCGTGCGTTCATTTCTCTGCATGACTCTGGCCATTATTCGACTTTCCTCGTCTCTCGACAAGTAGGTGACGCCATTCTTGTACAGGTCTTCCATGCTAAATTTGTTTTCCAGGAGGAACTCGACGGCTAGTAGATCGTATTAGGTTAACGGGATGCGGGCAGCTTTGAAACGAGCATACCACTGCTTTGGAAGGAACAATTTCGGTCTAGATCCAGCTTCCGGTCGATGATTGGGCTCAAGTATAGATTATATGGCTTCAAGGTGTACGTTTCTGTGATTGCGCTATTAACACATCAACCTGGAGTGGTGGACATATGTGTCTAACCTGTCTCCGGATCCTCATGGCAGATAGTCAAGCCAACTTGTAGTATTTGGTATTGATCAGCAGAATTCTTGACTTCTTCATAGCGCTCTTGCAAGGTGCTTCTGCTCTTGGGAGAAGGTCCAAGGCCTTTGGCGATGCCAGAGAATTCAAAGTCTATAGATACGAAACAACAGGATGCCAGGTCATCCAATACTCTGGGCAGGTGGTAGAAGAATGTTTGGGCGGATATATCCATGGTTTTCGGCAGTCCAACGATGCAGTAGCACCGTGCAAAGGAGAGTCAGTTATATATAAAACTTGAAGAGTGGAAGTAAGGCAGATACAAGGGATGCGTATCTGGCTATTGTGTTAATGAATAGGTGAATCAGGACGGAGTAGTAGATAGTGGATCAGCCTAAACAAAGAATACTGTGAGATCCCCAGTCAGAAGCTTGTCATAAGAGTCGGAAGATTCTAGACCCGGTTGCACTGCAATACCAGAGACGGAACAGCCGAGACACAAGCAACGAACTCCAGCAAGAATCATGAATGGATGAATGATGGAGAGGGGAAGATCGTCACTGGATTCCCGCGACTGGAGCTGTGCCTGGAGGCCTCAGGCGTGGAGAGTCTATTTTGGGGAGTTTCCGGCAGCGGCGTCCCGTGACATCAGACCCCAGACTCTCGGCCAGCGAAACGCATGAGCCGAGGTGATGCTGAAACTCCTCCAGTCCAAGCATTGTTCTTAGCCCAACTTAGTGTCACGCTGTTCCCTCTACCGTCCCAACCACCCAGAGCTCCAATTCGATCGCGTCCATTTATCTCTCGTGCAGTTTCTGCCTTTATTGATAGCCGCGCACGTTCCATTCGATTTCCCTTCTTTGATTCCTCTTTCCGATCCGTCGCATTTTCCGCTGGCGGTGAACAATGGCCGACGATAGTTCCTACATGTCGGCGTCCCAGTCGCAACTCCTCTCCTCGTCCACATCCTCATTGTCTCCCTCCAAACTTTGCTCAAAAACATATAAGAAGGCGTCAAATCTCTTTCTGACACTACGGTTACAAGAAGCACTTTCAGCCCTTGAGCCTGCGATTACGGTGGTCAGGGGAGCCGACGAGCAGTTCGTCAATGGCGATGATTCCGTCGCGCCCGTTGCTTCAGCCCAGCCGACTTGGCGGATTAAAGTGTGGAATCTGTACATTACACTCTTGAGCCAAATCATTGAATTGGGACCTGAAGAAGGCAAGAAGTTGTTTGGGCAGAAAGAATGGAAGGCCATCTCGACCACCGTTCGCGATGGTGAGATCTGGGAGACCGTTGTACGGACGGGGTATAGAGGCTTGGAGGGATCAGTGGATGCAGAAGTCGTATATAACCTGTCAGTCATCACGTCGAATTTCCAGCTACTTTCATTACTGACAATGGT